GGATTTCTGTGACGGGAGGGGCTGAGGCAATGAGCAGGGAGCAGGAAACTGGGTCAATGGCAGGCAGACAGAGACAGATTCATGACAATATCAGAGCAATTTCTAAGTATTTTGTTGAGATGTGTGAAATCTGTTCCAGACACAACCCGAAGGGGGTGCTGAAGGTTGGACACAGTGTGTTCCCGGTTCCTGCGGCTCCGTGGAAGGAGGTGTGTATTGATTTTACAGACATAGRGGCTGACAACAGGGTTCAGGGAAAAAGATTTATGCTCGTCTGTGTCGACACGTTTAGTGGAAGGATTGAAGCGGTGCTGACGGGCACGGAGAAAGCGTCTGAGGTGGTAAAGTGGTTGTCTCGTGAGGTTAGTCCAAGGTTTGGTGTACCTGTGGTCATAAGATCTGATAATGCTAGGCATTTTTCAAATAAGGAACTGCAAAAAGTGGAGCAGATGTTTGGGATCAAGCATCAGTTTGGGGCAGTTTTCCATCCGATGTCCCAGAACAAGGTGGAGCGAGCAAACAGGACACTGAAGGACAGTTCAGCTAAGGTGTGTGCGGACACAAAGTTGAACTGGGTAGAAGCTTTGCCTCTTGTTTCATTTAATATTACGTGCAGTCCAGGGGAGAAACTGAATGTGAGTCCTCATGAGCTTTTAACAGGGAGAAAAATGCCGTGTCCGCTAACGACTATGCCTTCAGAAAGTAACACTGTACAAATGCAGCATGATGTGATGTCAGAATACATGATGTGGTTGAGAAATACTGTCATGAGTCTGTCCCAACAGGTGGAGGGAGTGCTGACACGAAACTGCGGAGATCCCCGTGACACTGTGACGAAGGTGGCACGTTTTGACTGGCGACAGCCGAGGTGGTAAGGACCATTTCAAGTTGCGGAGACAACATCTCACTATGTGAAGGTGTGGTTGTCTGGGACAAAGTTGAGTAATTGGATTCATAAACAACACTGCTGCAAATCTGTTGCTTTAACAGAAAAATCTCAGAAAAGCATTGAAAAACAGTTGGATGACCTGAATGCTCCATTTGAAAAGGAGGACACAGCTGCTGAACAAACGAAGTCATCTGAGTATCAACCTCCATTTAATTTAAGGATTAAGAAATCTTGTTAAAGAAAAAAAAGACAAAACTGAAGCCATCATATGAGATTGATGATGGCTTCCCGGGGGAAATGTCTGTTTTTATTTATTTATTTTTTTTTGGTTATTTGCTGTTTTGAATTAACATGTGGGATGTAAGATGCAGGAAAAAATAATGAAATGCACACTAACCTGACTACTAACCTGACTGCCCTAATCCATGACAACATGACTGATCTGTCTTCTTATGATGATTTTGTGTTTGAAAAAATACATAATGTCTCGAACAGGGATCTGCTGGAATTTTTAAAAGGCAGAGGGAGAAGAGCAGATGTGCATCATGAGGCTTATAAAGTTACCTTTGTGGAGGGGCAAACTGCTTCCATTTTCTTTGATCTTTGCTCTGTCATTGGGTGTGGTTCAGAGCAGGGGGTTTACCAATCAGCAAGAGTATATGTCTGTACAACTGAAATAATGCCTTATTTGAACAAGGACTTTGGGTGTGGTTATCAGTTAGGAGGATGGGAAAAGATTATTTTTCAGGACAGATTAGACATTAGGAGAGACCAAGTTAAAGGGGGTGTGATAATGATTCTACTTGTAACCCTATGTTTCTGACTTTGAGAAATCCACAGGTGACAGATATTGGATTTCTGCTAATGGGGCTGGCGGTGAGAGGACGAGACCCAGTTGGTAAAACATATATTCATGTGGTGCAGCCTAACGACTTAGAGCTAACAGTTGATGTGGGCTCTAGCGAGGAAATTGTTGTAGACACCGGAGTTACTCAGACTAATTATTGGTTGAGATTTGTCAGAAATGCAGCCAGTCAAGCAAAATTGTCAAACTGTGTGGTATGTGCGGAAGCAAGGCCAGCACTATTAATGGTTCCATCACATCTGAGTAATGCTTCCACTTTTTTCTGTATGTTGCAATTGCATATTACTGAAAACCCATCAGTTCAGTGTAAATATTTAGAACAATTATTTCCAATGTCCTCAAAAACAGATGTGCCTCCGGTGTTCAAGGAGGTGGAGGGCAGCTTCACTTGTTTGGCCAGAAGAGGGCGGCAGAGGAGCATGGAAGTTGGACAGCTGAATGTGACCTAGTGTAAACAGGTGATCAATGTGTCATTGTGGGAGAATGCAACAATGTTAAATGTGTCTAGGGCGGACGTATTTTGGTTCTGTGGTAATAATCGTTTGTTAAAGGTGTTGCCAGCAGGTTGTAGTGGGCTGTGTACGGAGGTGTCMCTGGTCTCACCGGTCAGGTTTGTAAATATCACGATTGATGAATTGCCGGAACATCGGCCTCTCTTGGATAAGCAGGTTGTTAACTTGAACCGGGTTAAATGTGTTTGACATATATGAAAGCAGTCCAGTGTACATTGATGTTATTGGGGTGCCAAGTGGGGTTCCCACTGAATTTAAATTGATCGATCAGGTGGCAGCTGGCTTTGAAACCATCTTACGTTGGATAATCCTTAATAAAAACGTAGATCGTATAAACGTTATTAATTTTCTTTGCAGAGGCTTAATAATTTGACCAGGGATGCCCATCAGAGTGTGCATCAGCAGTTGGCTGCAACGTCTTTGATGGCTTATCAGAATCGCATTGCATTAGACTATTTATTAGCAGAACAAGGTGGAGTGTGGTCATTTTTTGGGTCATCTTGTTGTACATTTATTCCTGGACATACTGAAACTGATGGGTCATTTACAAAGGCTGTCAAAGGTCTGCGAACTTTGTCTGTGGAGATGAACAATTTTTCAGGGGCTGCCACACAGATGGAGGAATGGTTAATGAAGATATTTGGAGGTTGGAAAAATCTGATGTCTGCTGTTGTCATGCCATTGGTGATGATGGTGGTAATACTAGGGTTTTGTTGTTTATGTGGCATCCCTGTGGCTAGAATGTTTTGCTTGAGGGCCATCTCCCAGACTGTTTGAAATACCTTACACCAACATCCCACCATGGAGTACCCGATGGTACAGATGACGGATGCCGACAAATTTTCTTACACTTGCATAAATACTGTAATTTATTTTCCCTCCTCTCCAAGACTGACTTTAAAATTGAAGATTAAAAAAACAAACTCAGCAGTTTCAAAACTGGTTTACTCATTAGAGAACAAGAAATCTGCTGTTTTTTGTTTCCTACAGGAGATGCCTTCCAGCTGTAAAAAAGGAAATGTGTAATTGAATGTGTTTGATTTTACTTGATTAGAATAATACATAAGTACCCTGCTTGTACTTGAGTAAATACCCAGTTTCCTTCAGTAAGCTGTTTCTTACTCTTCACCTTTGGTGTTGGACGTGTTAGTTTGTACTGTGACATCCTGTTTTATGGACATGATGAGTGCAAAGTCTCAGCACATCCTTACATATGCTGGTGAAATCCCTCAAGTGACAAGTTACGTTTGATCATCTCTGAAGGGACTGCTGACATAAGTTCAGGGTGAAGTTTTTCATGTAAACATCTCAGTTTGGAAACTTTTACCTTTGCCTTGTGGGGGGTCCTCATGTCCAGTGCTTTCACAGGGTGGCAGACTGCCACATACCTGTCCATGCTCATCACTGTCAGGGTAAAGGTGCTGGTAAACATGTTGTAGTAGTCGATAGACACCACCGTCTTACACAAGGCATTCCCAAAGGGCCAAAAGCCCAGGAACACATCTGTGCCCTGAAAACATTCAAAGAGAAGAGAGTCATTTTACACAAATTTAAATTAAAACAATAATATAGAACTAATATGAATAATTATTATCATTTGTAAAGAAACATCAGACCGCTTTTTCAAAATGGATTATGAAAGAGAGTTCTTTAGAAGCATGATGTCGGGCAGATGGATAGAAAATCTGACCACTTGGAATTAAACTTAGCATCCAGTATTACTGCAGAATTTGTTTTGATCAGGACATATCATTTTACTAAGACAATAAAAATGTCACACGCATGAGGGGGGCAGTGGTTACGGCTGTGGTGACATTTGGGGGCAATTTTAAGACAAAAATCCCACCATTGGGCACAACTGGTGCCATTGGTGGGTTGGGGGTTCGGTTTAGGACTAAGGTGTGAATTGAGTTTAGGTTAGTTTTAGGGTCAGGTAGGTATCAATGAGGTTAGCCTTAGGGTTTGTATGTATATATATATATA